TTGAACAAAGTTTTGGTGCTTTTGGCAGTGTGGGCAGGTGCCAAGTCCTGCTGGAAAATGAAGTCAACATCCCCATAAAGCTCGTCTGTGGAAGGAAGCATGAAGTGCTCCAAAATCTCCTGGTAGACGGCTGCGTTGACCCTAGACTTGAAGCACAGTGGACCAACACCATCAGATGACATGGCTCCCCAAATCAACACAGACTGTGGAAACTTCAAGCATCTTGTAGTGTGTGCTTCTCCATTCTTCCTCCATACTCTGGGTCCTTGGTTTCCAAATGAGATGCAAAAGTTGCACTCATCAGAAAAGAGGACTTTGGACCACTGAGCAACAGACCAGGTCTGTTTTTCTTTAGCCCAGGTAAGACGCTTCTGACGTTGTTTGTTGTTCAGGAGGGGCTTGACAAGAGGAGCCCATGTCCAGGATCCGTCTGTGTGTGGTGGCTCTTGATGCACTGACTCCAGCTTCAGTCCACTCCTTGTAAAAGTCCCCAACACTTTTGAATGGCTTTTTCCTGACAATCCTATCCAGGCTGCAGTCATCCCTGCTGCTTGTGCACCTTTTTCTTCCACACAACTTTCTATTAATGTGCTTTGATACAGCACTTTGGGAACATCCAACCTCTTTTGCAATTACCTTTTGAGGCTTTCCCTCCTTATGGAGGGTGTCAATGATGGTTTTTTGCACAACTGCCGGGGCAGCAGTCTTTCCCATGATTGTGATTTCTACTGAACCAGACTGAGAGACCATTTAAAGGCCCAGGAACCCTTGCAGGTGTTATGGCTTAATTAGATGATTAGAGTGGGACACTTTGAGCCTAGAATATTGCACCTTTTCACAATATTCTAATTTTCTGAGATTGTGGATTTAGGGTTTTCATGAGCTGTAAGCCATAATCATCACAATTATGACAAATCACGTCTTGAACTATCTTGCTTTGCATGTAATGAGTCAACAGGCATCAACAGCGAGGCTCTTTCTTTCCATGCATCAGTATCAGAGGTTGGTCATCAGCTCTGAGGAAAGGGATTTGTCTCCGAAATGCATCAGCCATTTGACCGCACTGACAGTGAGAACACCTGCCCGCCGTTGTGGCCATTGTCATTTTTCTATGCTTTTTAGATACATGCTTCGTCTGTATGTTTTTATTATTTCATTCCTACAATAAACCTTGGATAATGCACTAGGTGTGTGCACCACCAGTTTTTCTCTGTATCCAGTGGCTGATTTCCCCGTCTGAGGAGGGCTGCACCCCTGGAACATTTCCTTTGGTTGTCGCTGTCCTGGTACCCTTGGCCTCCCTTTTGGCTGTGCATATCCTGAGGTGCTGGAGAGTACATACGTTATCCTGAGAGGGGGGATATATGTGGTGGGGGTGATTTTGTTTCCTGGGGAGGGGGGGGGGGGGAATTCTGGGTGGTTCAGGGAAGTAGACATTTGGGTCACTTACCTGTGATGCTTTTATAACATTTTGTACAATTCCAAAAACTTTTCTATGAGTGGTAGCCTTATGGGTGTATACGCCTACTTTCGTCTTTTGGTTTGTATTACTAAACCCATGACCCTGCTTTCACCATTATCAGGCCTCCCACAGTACATGGAAATGCAATTATTTTAGTAAATATAAATTGCTAAATACCAGAAAAGGATGCAGATCATTCTGTTTTTTTCTGCAGACATAAAACTGACACATGTGAATGGACTTTGCGGTTCAATCTGAATCCGTCTGAAAAACTCACTGGCTAAATGTTGACATTCAAGACATTTAACAAATTGTTGACAAGCATGCATTTCAAAAATTAGAATCCTGTAATTGCAATCACTTCCAACAAGTAGCTCAGGCTTCTACCAAGTTTAACCACAAGCCTACAGGGCACTTATACCCGCTTACTGCCCAGGCCAATTTCCAGCTTTCAGAGCTGTCGCACTTTGAATGACAATTGCGCGGTCATGCAACACTGTACCCATATGATGTTTTTATCATTTTTTTGTGACAGTGGTATTTAATCAACTCTGGGTTATTTTTTCTTAAACAAACCAAAAACCCCTGAAATTTTGAAAAAAAAAAAAAATTTAGTTTTTGTTATAAAATTTTGTAAATAAGTGATTTTTCTCCTTCACTGATGTGCGCTAATGAGGCTGCAGTGATGGGCATGGGCACCGATGGGCATTGACAGGCATCACTGATGGGCACTGAAAGGCAGCACATGACACTGATAGGCGGCACTGACTGGCACTGAAAGGCAGCTCAGGGCACTGGTAGGCACTGATGTGGCATGGATGAGCACTGACAGCTGGCACTGATGGGGCTACACTAATCATCAGGGCACATGTTCCCTCCGCAGAAAGCCGATTACCGGCTCTCCTCTCCTCTCGAGCTGTCAGCGTGACAGTTCGAGAGAAGAGAAAATGCCGATAACTGGCATTTCCCTGTTTGCATGTGATCAGCTGTGATTGGAGACAGCTGATCACATGACCGAGCTGACATCTTCGGCTCTTTCCGTGATCGGTTATCTGCTGTGTCCGAGGGACACCGCACACCAGCCAATCGCCGCGCGCTCCTTGAGCCGCACATGCACGGTGAGAATGGGAGGATGTCACATGACGGCCTCCCAGAACGAGAGAACCACTTTACGTCCATCAAATTACTATATGGCGGGCGGGAAGTGGTTAAAAGGTGTGATTCCACTTTTGCAGCCCATCTGAGATAACCCCCTGCTTTATATCTGTCCTCATTCTCATAGCACGACATAAAAAAAATTTCACAAATTTAAGCTCACTTTTTTAGTTGCTAGTCTTGACCCTCAAACATGGAAAAACCCTCCAAAGTTCTCTATGAGGGGGCTGGGTGGCAGCCATAATTAACCCTGTCTGTACTGTGCAGACAAGCCTTCATTATCACAGTAACTTGATTTGAACACCCTGTCCTAACAAAGGGTTAAGTAGAGTCTGGGCTTTTTGCTTTGTGCATTAATGAAGACAGACTTCAGATTAGCTCATTCTATGTTCATAAAAACAAGCCTGGAACATTTTAGCCTACAAGCCTTCCTCCCCATGCATTCCTCATTAGATGCTCATCTCAGGCAAGTGCTTGGGGATGGAAAAAAGGTGCCATGTTTCAATTTAGCAGTCTCTTTGCTAACTGTGTTGTTGGAAGACCGTGAAGGAAGGAGGGGTGCCCTGTTCAACTTCACAGCTAGTCTCAGACAGCACACAGAAAGATGTGACAAAGTACAATATGTACTTTGCCCCCTTGGGGAACAAAAAACATTAAAAAATATTGAGTAAGACTTTTTTGAAAATGCTGCAAGTATAGAAAAATACCAGCAAATCTGCTTAAAATCAGTGTTCTCCTAACATCCTGTTGTGGGCTGACAACACAGCCTCGGTTGTTCTGAAATCTCAAGCAGTATTGTCAGCCATGTCCAGTGCTGGACTACAGAACGATGTGCCAATACCACCACCACCTCCACTCTCCTCTCCATAACCCGTTTGCTTTCTCTTTACTCTCTCTCATACAAGCATGTGATAGCAGCCTAGGGGAACAAACAGCAGGCAGATTGTGCAGAAACAAAGGGAGTCTTAAAGCAGTAGTAAAAAGTCTCTTGGGGGGGGGGGGGGGGGGGGAGAACACACACGATTTCCCCCTGCAAGGTAATATAATGTGCTATTATGCATCGCGTACTAGCACATTATGCAATACTTACCTTAAAACAAAGCCCTCTGCTGACAGGGCCTCCATCCTCACCCGGTCTTTCTTCCGGATTTGCGGGCTCTGACCGTCAGACTGGCTAAGCTGTGATGTCATTCCCGCACATGCACGTTGGAGCCCCAGGCATGGCACACAACTCTGAAGGAACAGCACGGGTAAACCGTTCCTTCAGAGCACGTGTCGGTGATATCTCCGGCTGCTGTTCTCTGGAATATCTCCTAAACGGCGGACATTTACGAGATATTCATTTTTCCTACTGGTAAGCTTTATTATAAGCTTACCTGTGGATAAAAGTAAAAAAAAAAAAAAAAAAAAAAAACAAACCACACACGCACTTTACTACCACTTTAAAGATTAAACATGGACAAATGCCCATGTATTGCAATTTTTTTTTTATTCATTTTATGCAAACATACACTTTAAGCTAAGTTTCTCCAATAAGTGGGCAAGAAAAGGTGCCAGAGAATACCTTTATATGTATACCCTCACCTTCCTGACAGTCCTGCTGGAGCCCACAAACATTCCAAGCAAATACAGATTTGCAGAAGGTTGGTGCTTAAATAGGGTTAGACCCTTCACCCAACTCACAGTATATGCTATTGCCACAATGTTCTAATGTGAGACTTAAGAAAACAAAATCTGTGCAAGAGGTGACCCCAGCAGACTGCTGTTGCTTTGAGTAGCAAAGGAGGTCTGCCTACAGGTTTCAGCTCTGACATCGGCTGAATTATATAGGCAGCACTATAAAGCGTTTTGTTATTCGAGGAACACTCTTGAAGTCCTTTTTTATCCCATCATTCTTCTAAATCTTTTTTCAAGAATTTCTTAAAAACAGGATTTATCAAAAATGAATTTCCTGCTGAGATACACCGTTTGCTGTGGCAAAAAGCAGCAACGCACTGTGCTTTTTTATTATTCTTTTTAATAATGTTACTGCGAAGGCTGGAGTGAAAAAAAAAAGTCATGTTTTACTTAAAATAAAATTTTAGCTTCCACCAATAGATCTTTAAAGCAGAATCGTAATAGATGAACACTTTGTTAAGTCACACATTCTCCAAAGTCAATACTACTTTAACACAGTCAGTATTACAGTCTCTTGAATCAAATGTGGTCATTTTGGCTTCCGAGCTGCACAAACTCAGAATATTACAGCAGAAAAATACTCAAGTCCTCCGGCTTGAAAACACCATACTGTACCGACAGTCAAACCATAGACTCAAATCCAGTTTCTGTAAACAAGTCTTAAAGTATAGTGTATAATCTGATAGATTTTCTCGCTTTTCTTTTTTCAATCGGAGATTTTTGAAGCTAACTTTTCAACAAGTGCATTATGGTCCATCCCAATGCTAGCTAGCAATCCTCCTTCGTTTCCATCTAGTCCAGTATAAATGACATCTTCTCCTTTAAGGTTAGTCATCTGACCACCAAGTGCACTGAGTATGGCATTTCCCGCACAAATGTCCCACTTCTTGATATAGGTGACATGAATATACACATCAGCTGTTTCTTGTTTTTCATTCCCAGTCACATCAAGCAAAGAGAGAACTTTATAACCTTGGATGGAAAAAAAAAAAAAAAAAAAAAGTGAGAATATTCAGAATTCTAGCATTACTGAAAGGACATAAAATTAAAATGCTGAGAAGATCTTACCAATGATTGGTGGAAAAGTAGAAACTTACAAGATGACACAATGGGGGAGAATTACTAAAACTGGTGCACGTAAAATCTTGTGGAGCTGTGCATAGTAACCAATCAGCTTCCAGGTTTTATTGTCAAAGCTTAACTGAACAAGCTGAATTTACTGATTGGTTACTATGCAATGCTGCACCAGTTTTAGCAAATCTCCCCATATGTCCTTAACAAAATAAGGAATTTTGTTACTCATTGTAAAACAGGGTGTACTGGGGCCAGAGGCCATAACTGCCTGCCATTTTTCCTTTTTAAATTTCATTTTCACCACAGCAGTCACGCTTGCTGCCCCCCTTTTCCCATCATATTACTTCTGGGCAAGTTGCTCAGTCTATGAGGGCAGCTATGGACTTCTGATGACGCAAGGACCGCATTATCAGATATTGAAAACAAAAACTTTGTGAATGTGAACCCCAACAATGAACTTCTATTTGCTCCATTTGGAATGTTTATTTTACACTGCTCAAAAAATTTAATTGACCTGATGCTATACTCTGATTAAAATGTGTCCCTTTAAATCCTGGAATATTGATCTGTCAGTTAAGTACCAAAGGGGGTCATTAATTTCATTAACACCAAAGCAGCTGAAATTGCTTAACAACAGACACACTAGATGGGCAACAATGAGACAACCCCTAAAACAGGAATGGCTTTACAGATTGAGGCCACTGACATTTTTTCCCTACTCATCTTTTCTGACTTTTTTTCACTAGTTTTGCATTTGGCTAGGGTCGATGTCACTACTGTTAGCATGAGGCGATACCTGGACCCTACAGAGGTTGCCCAGGCAGTTCAACTCCTCCAGGATGGCACATCAATACGTGCCATTTCCAGAAGGTTTGCAGTGTTTCCCCCAGCACAGTTTCAAGAGCATGGAGGAGATTCCAGGAGACAGGCAGCTACTCTAGGAGAGCTGGACAGGGCCATAGAAGGTACATAACCCATCAGCAGAACCGGTATCTGCTCCTTTGTGCAAGGAGCAACACGATGAGCACTGCCAGAGCCCTATAAAATGACCTCCAGCAGGCCACTGGTGTGAAAGTCTCTGACCAAAAAATCAGAAACAGACTTCATGAGGGTGACCTGAAGGCTCGACACCCTCTAGTGTGCCCTGTACTCACTACCCAGCACCATAGAGCTCAATTGGCATTTGCCATTGAACACCAGAATTGGCAGGTCTGCCACTGCCACCCTGTGCTTTTCACAGATGAGAGCAGGTTCACCCTGAGCACGTGGCAGCCGTGAAAGGGTCTGGTGAAGCCGTGGAGAACATTATGCAGCCTGTAACATCGTACAGCATGACAGTTTTGGTGGTGGGTCAGTGATGGTCTGGGCAGAGATATCCATGGAGGGACACACAGACCTCTACAGGCTAGACAATGGCACCCTGACTGCCATTAGGTATAGGGATGAAATCCTTGGACCCATTGTCAGACCCTACGCTGGTGCAGTGGGTCCTAGGTTCCTCCTGGTGCACAACAATGCCCGGCCCCATGTGGCGAGAGTACGCACGCAGGCAGTTCCTGGAGGATGAAGGATTTGGCCCCCACGCTCGCCTGACCTAAATCCAATAGAACACCTTTGGGATATCATGTTTCGGTCCATCCAATGCCGCCAGGTTGCACCTCAGACTGTCCAGGAGCTCAGCGATGACCTGGTCCAGATCTGGGAGGAAATACCTCAGGACATACCATCCGTCGTCTCATTAGGAGCATGCCCCGACGTTGTCAGGCATGCATACAAGCACTTGGGGGCCATACAAACTACTGAGTACCATTTTGAGTTGCTGCAATGAAATTTCAGCAAAATGGATTAGCCTTCTGCATGATTTTTTCACGTTTTCAGGGTGTCTTAATTCAGTCCTCTGTAGGTTGATCGTTTTCATCAAATGATGGGGCATCCTTACGTTCCTAGTACATTACCCAGTACATATCAGTATAGATATCCAGCATGATATTTTTCCCCATTGAGATCTGATGTGTTTTTCAAAGTGTTCCTTTAATTTTTTTGAGCAGTGTACCATTTATAGCATTTTGTTTTATGAGCCTCATAAATGCAACAATAAACTTGTTGATCTTGTTAGAAATCCAGAGCTGTCCTGTGTCCTCTGCACGGTTCATGTGTTGTCTCAATCCTCCTAGTTCTGATCTTGGTCTACAAAATAGTCTTATGTTGTGGTGATCAGAGAGCAGAAGTGATTAAAGTAGAACTACAGGCAAACCTTTTTTTCCCCCCATTTTGGATAGAGTAAGGGTCATAACCCCCGTCAGGTTTTCTTTTGCCACGGGGGAGATTTATCTTCAAATTCCTGCCCCATAGCCAAACAGAAAGTGAGAGAAAATCCCTGCAAATGAAGGGAATCCATTGGGGAGATTTTTGGAATTACAACTTATAGTAAAATCTATTTCCTGGAGTACAGACTAGGACACAGGCTTTATATCTAAATCATCTAAACTGGGTTACATGGAGCTACCTTTAGGTGTCTGCACATTGGCAAAACAGAAGGCAGTATGGACATCCGCCTATATAACCCCACAGTTCCCTACTAGCCTCAGTTTTCTAGCAAGCAATGGGAGAGATCAAAAGAACAGAGGGAAACCCAGGTAGAAGATGTCGGCACCAAGGGACATCAGACCAGGACTCAACAAATCACAGGCGCCAGATCGCCATGGTGACTAGAAATTGTGTCCTGGCACCTGGGTTCACACACTGCTTCCCATAGGCTTCAAAGGGAAAATGCCTCCCATAGGCTTCAATAGGAAAACTCAAAAAAAAAAACCAAAAAACTTGTCAATAGCAATCCTATGTGAACACTTCTCTCCGCATGCCTCTATTCTATCACTTGCGTGTCTGGAACGCACCGCTCCAAACTCGCACAGGACCCTTTTCATTATTTGACTCAAAATACAATGAGTTAGGATCACACCTGCATGAAACACCTCAACAGGAACACAATATTTATCCCGTCATGTGAATCTGAGTTTCAAAACAAATCCAGAATCACATGTGTGAACCAGGGTGGCTCCATTTACACCTAGGTGTTTTGGGATCGCGGAATAATCACTATGCTCACAAAACACAGGTTCAGGTGCCATTATTTTCCATTTAGTGGTTTTGCGGTGATTGCCGTGTGGTTAATCGCATTGCATGAAGTCCCGGGCACTGACAGCCCTGGCTCCTAAATTTTTTCAGCTAGCTCCTAGATTCAAAGTAAATTTGAGTGAAGCACGTGGCTAAATGGTTAGCATTTCCACCTGACAGTACTAGGGTCACTGGTTCGAATCGCCAACCATGGCATGGGTTTCTTCCGGGTACTCTGGTTTCCTTTCACACTCCAAAGACATGCTGGTAGGTTAACTGGATCCTGTCTAAATTGTCCCTAGTATATGAATGTAAGTTAGGGACTTTAGATTTGACACCCCTTGAGGGTTAGGAACTGATGTGAGTTTACAATATATATATGTAAAGTGCTGCATAAATGACGGCGCTATACAAGTACCTGCAATAAGTAAATACAATTTGTGAAGCCCTGCGTCAGACCAATGAAAGATTAAGTATCAAAGAATTTAGCTCCACTTTAAGCACAAAAGTGGCATCAGAGGAGACCTGAACATTCACCTGGTAGAACGTAAACATGTGACCAGAATCCCATGTGGCAGTCTTTTAAATCTGAGAACTGATGCTAAAAAGCCCATGGGAAGGGAACCAGGCTATAGTCCCCAATAATAAACTTGTCTGATCCACTCAGCAATGCTGGCGCAAAAGGCAAGGAGACCCCTGCAGGAATCTTTAGGAAGGGCAAAAAGGGAATACAACTGCCTAAACAAAGTAGCTGAGAGCTACACTAACAGCACCCACCATGTCCAGACCGTAAAGAAAAATTTCCTTAGGATGTTTTGAAGAACATAAAGAGTGAAGGACAATGTCCTGGTTATGGTGGAAAACAAATACCATTTTGGGAGGAAGGATGCCTTAAGCTCTTTGTCCTTGTGCAACACTTAGAAAGGATAGGATAAGGCTGCAAACAGAGAGATTCTCCAAGCATTAGTGAGAGCAACAAGAAAGGGCAGACATAAGGATATCCCTGAAAGGTTCAAAAGGCAGTTTCTGCAAAGCAGAGGAGAACTAGACTAGAAATTGCGTCCTGGCGCTTGGGCTTTGCTCAGCCCATTCATTGTTGCAGGGATGCACAATTTGTATTGCCCAATGCTTGGGGCAGGTCTGGGCCCAGGGCACAAAGTTCTCTCTGCTTTTAGCCCTGCTGCAGGCAAGCAACAGGGCTAACTTGTTAGGTGGAAGCATTCGGATGGCTCTACTGCCACCCGTTTTCTTGGTTTAAAGTAGTTAAACAACATTGTAGATTGTCAATTGAGGGAGTATCTGGTTGAATTTGGGGATGAGGAAGGAATTTTGTCCCTATTCGAGCATATTGGACCATGTTTAAAAGGTTATTTGCATTCGTCAGGAACAAATGCGGGTTCAGGTTTTCAGAAACTATGGTTTTATGTTATGCTTGTCTTTTGGTTAAACTAAAGAAATGGGTCTTTATTTGAACCTGCCACACAGATGTAACTGTGATAGTTAGTGGAGCTTGGTCAAGAAGTAAAAGGTCTTTTTGGCATCTTGTGGCAGCTGATTAGAATGCTTAATTTATATATTTATACTGCACTTTCAGTTTAAAACCTATAAGTACTTAATTCTTCTCCAGCTATCTCAAGATTATGCTGTGTATAACTCAATCAGCAAAAAGGGCTCCTTCTAAAATTGTGAAACACCTTAAAAACTATAGTGTCAGATAGGTGTTAGAGTAAATATCCTAAAAACATTCAGACTGCAAGAGAATATCAAACCAATGTCAATATTAGATACATTGTTAATACAGTTTTCAAGGTAAGGCAAGGATAGACTATTCAACTCCTTTAAATAATGCACGAGTTCTGTACAAACCTGATCCTCCAGCAGATATGATTTTAGTATGATTGCCAAAAGTTTGGAGGGTCACTTCTTTGACTTTCCCAGAATGGCTTCGAGACACAATGATTGTTGGACTTTTCTCATCATAAGATGCCCGTCTCTTCACATTTGAGCCTCCTTCTACCATCGCCCATGCTATGAAAGGAAAATAAAACCCTAATTTTGAATGTTCTCTACAGCGGTTGAGAGGTACAGAAAGACAGTAAATATAGCAATAACAGAAATGCGTATCCCTAAAAGGGGCAATACTGGGAGGTGAGTAGGAGGGGCAAAACCAAGGGACAGAGCATGGAGGTGGGTAGGGGGCGGAGACAAGGGGTGACTTGGGGGGGGGGGGGGGAGCTATTATCACACACACACGGCTGTTGAATTCCTATCACCAGACACACGGGACATGTAGTTTTTTTTTTTCTTAACACCTTCTGCAGGCCCAGGACTGGCTCAGCACCGACAGCTATAGGGGAGGGAGGAGAGCAGATATATCCGCTCCCCTCCTTGTCATGACCCGAAAGTGACGTTATGTCACTTCCAGGTCCCCGTTGAGAGATTCTCGGCAACTAAGGCCTGGAAAGAATGTAATGCGGTGCAGGGGAGCAGAGGGGAGACAAAAAATCATCACATAGGGGTCATTGTCTCCTATGTGATGAAAAAAAAAAAAAAAAAAAAAAAAAAAGTTAAATTGTACAAAATGAAAAAAAAGTTACACAAGCACATAACATCCCCCCCTTCCAAAAATTCCCCCCCACATACAAACGTAAAAGCACACGCTGGGGCACCTACGCATTAAAATGTTGATTGCGATACACGTTACATGTCGCTGTGCACGCCAGAATGAGAGCAATAATTCTAGCACCAGACCTCCTCCGTACACTATACTGATGACCTAGAAGGGGCTTTAAGCCCCCGTCACATCAAAGCCGATTTTGAAGTCGCACGATTTCAAAATCGGGTAACCTGCCAATTTCAGCTGCGATTTGCAAGACATCTGATACAGATGTCTATGCAAATCGCACCAAAAGTAGTGCATGCACTTTAGAAATCAGTGCGGCTCCGACCACGTAAGAACAGCACCAATATGACTGCTCTAATACCGGACAATAGGGTGCGACTTGGCATATGATTTGCAAGTCGCATGGCATGCAAATCACATGCCAAGTTGCACCCGATGTGATCGGGATGTAAAAGCGTCACCTATAGAAAATATAGGGTACTGAAGTTCATCGCCATTTCACAAGTGCACGCAAGGTTTGACAAGTTGGATATTTACTCGCTGCAACCTCATCTTTTATATGTCGCAAAAAAATAGGGTAATGTATTGCTTTCTTTTGTCCCCTAAAATTAAAGTGCATTTTTTACTGAAATTTTGTGGTAATATCATGCGACATAAAAATTTGGAACTACCACTATTTTATTCTGTGGTTTCTGATTTCAGAAAATATACAATCTTTGGAGGTTTTGTGCAATCTTCAGGCCTAAAATGATTCTTGTGCAAACAAAGCAAAAACGTCTCTGGCAGTGAAATGGATAAAAGGATAAGCCCGACACTCCCCTTTCCTGACAAGCAGCCAATTGGTACTCACTACGCTGCAAGGTGTCCCCGTGTGCAGTCACCATAAAACCCCTTTTGTTTTTAAAACCAGTACTAATATCACCTCTGATTTAAATAAGGTTTTGGTTTAAAAAAAAAAAAAGAAAAAGCAAAAAAAACAAATTGTATATGGAAAAGTAGATTGTCACGAGGGACAAGTAGATTGGGACACCGATTTAGTCCCTGTACAAGTATTCTACTACTCCTCCAGTGTATGAGGATACCACATGTGTGCCTTTCAGTGTCTGGACTGATTACGTACCAGAAATTGTATATCTTGTGTATGACACAAATTAACCAATTGTGTCAAAACCAATGTAGTGGTCACCTCTGTATGAGTGGTCAGGGAAAATGGCTTAGTGCAGCGTCACCTATAGCAGTCCCATATTTCCTATAAGCCAAGCGAGCCTAACCTACTGGTGCATGGCTGTCCCCAGGAATGCCATGTTCACTGACCAAGAAGTACAGGAGGCTGAAGAATGGAAGAAATACAGAGGCCTTATGGAGTGCAGTTGTCTGCAGGGGTAGCTGGGACTGGTGTCTCACAGGAAAATAGTCAATCAGACATGCAGATGGGTCAGTTCATACAGCAACCAGAGACATGGTCAGCAAACAGGCAAAGGTCAGGAATATTGTTGCTGGCTGCACTGGTCTGACAGTGGGATTTGTGTAGTGGCATTCAGGAACACTGTTGGATGGTTTACACTAGTCTGGTGACACCGGGGGCTAGTGTGGCAACAATCGAGGACATTGTTCCTGGCCTACACTGGTGTGGTGACTCTTTAACTGGTGTGGTGGTGTTAAGGAACACTGTTGCTGGCATACAGTGGTCTGGTGACACTGGAACTGGTATGGCGGTGATCTGGAAAACTGTTGCTTGCTGCACTGGTCTGGTGTAGTGGCAATCAGGAACACTGATTCTAGCTACACAGGTCTAGCAACACTATCACTGGTGTGGTGAACTGTGATTGGCAGCACTATTAGGGATCATGCACACGAAAGATTGGGGGGGGGGGGGAATTGAGGGGGATGTTGTGCGTAAAATTAAGTGGTTGAGTCATGACTTTACCACCCCTCAACCGCTACCCCTTTAGCTGCAGAGGCAGCGGTTGGGGGTTTACACATGCCAAAGCTGCGATGATCTATTTTGCAAATGCGGCAGGAAATATACCCCCATACGCCGACCGATCCCGACCGACTCAAGTAAATAGTTGATAGTAAATTCATTGAATATCTCTCGACTGTGCCGGCCATTACTGGTAATGCAATTGCTGTAATTGGTTACCAGGGCCAATCACAGCAACTCTGTACCCTGACCTGTGCTTAGTCTGTTGGACGTACCAGCACAATGTCTCAGAACGACACCTCTACCCAGCAGGAAGCAGATAATCATGTGAGGAACACCATTAATTCACATTATACTTACACATACTTGTAGAATGTGCTAAGCATAGGTACACACTAACATATATATATATACATACATATATACATATATATATACACATACATATACATACATATATACATACATATACATACATATACATACATATATACATACATATATATATATAAAAACAAAAAAAAAAAAAAACCACAAAAAACACAACTTACCAGTATAATGCGTGAAAGGTTTATGTATTACTCCTATAACAGGCTTTCCATCCACAGCAACACATACCATAGTTGTAACATAGTTAACAAGATTCTCTAGTCACAAAAAAAAAAAAAAAAGGAACAGTTGATAATAGCAAATGTTGGGGAAACTGTAAAAACACTGCATTCACTTTGCTTTTTACTTTTACAAAAAAGCTAAACTAAGGACATTGTCAAGTGAAGATATTTATAAGAATAGCACGGAGTTTGCTGGCCACTTCCTAGACAATAACATGCAGAGAACTACTAGGTAGCGATCTTTTTAAAAGGCAGTCACAAATGCCAAGTGCTTTATATGTGCTCTTTGTATGCTGACTGGCCATACAATATAACCCCATTACAAATACAGTCAGGTCCATAAATATTGGGACATCGACACAATTCTAACATTTTTAGCTCTATACACCACCACAATGGATTTGAAATGAAACAAACAACAACAGCAGACTGTCAGCTTTAATTTGAGGGTATTTACATCCAAATCAGGTGAACGGTGTAGGAATTACAACAGTTTGCATATGTGCCTCCCACTTGTTAAGGGACCAAAAGTAATGGGACAGAATAATAATCAAAAATCAAACTTTCACTTTTTAATACTTGGTTGCAAATCCTTTGCAGTCAATTACAGCCTGAAGTCTGGAACGCATAGACATCACCAGACGCTGGGTTTCATCCCTGGTGATGCTCTGCCAGGCCTCTACTGCAACTGTCTTCAGTTCCTGCTTGTTCTTGGGGCATTTTCCCTTCAGTTTTGTCTTCAGCAAGTGAAATGCATGCTCAATTGGATTCAGGTCAGGTGATTGACTTGGCCATTGCATAACATTCCACTTCTTTCCCTTAAAAAACTCTTTGGTTGCTTTTGCAGTATGCTTTGGGTCATTGTCCATCTGCACTGTGAAGCGGCGTCCAATGAGTTCTGAAGCATTTGGTTGAATATGAGCAGATAATATTGCCTGAAACACTTCAGAATTCATCCTGCTGCTTTTGTCAGCAGTCACATCATCAATAAATACAAGAGAACCAGTTCCATTGGCAGCCATACATGCCCACGCCATGACACTACCACCACCATGCTTCACTGATGAGGTGGTATGCTTAGTATCATGAGCAGTTCCTTTCCTTCTCCATACTCTTCTCTTCCCATCACTCTGGTACAAGTTGATCTTGGTCTCACCTGTCCATAGGATGTTGTTCCAGAACTGTGAAGGCTTTTTTAGATGTCGTTTGGCAAACTCTAATCTGGCCTTCCTGTTTTTGAGGCTCACCAATGGTTTACATCTTGTGGTGAACCCTCTGTATTCACTCTGGTGAAGTCTTCTCTTGATTGTTGACTTTGACACACATACACCTACCTCCTGGAGAGTGTTCTTGATCTGGCCAACTGTTGTGATGTGTGTTTTCTTCACCAGGGAAAGAATTCTTCTGTCATCCACCACACTTGTTTTCCGTGGTCTTCGGGTCTTTTGGTGTTGCTGAGCTCACAGGTGCGTTCCTTCTTTTTAAGAATGTTCCAAACAGTTGTTTTGGCCACACCTAATGTTTTTGCTATCTCTCTGATGGGTTTGTTTTGTTTTTTCAGCCTAATGATGGCTTGCTTCACTGAAAGTGACAGCTCTTTGGATCTCATCTTGAGAGGTGACAGCAACCGATTCCAAATGCAAATAGCACACTTGAAATGAACTCTGGACCTTTTATCTGCTCATTGTAATTGGGATAATGAGGAAATAACACACCTGGCCATGGAACAGCTGAGAAGCCAATTGTCCCATTACTTCTGGTCCCTTAACAAGTGGGAGGCACATATGCAAACTGTTGTAATTCCTATACCGTTCATCTGATTTGGATGTAAATACCCTCAAATTAAAGCTGACAGTCTGCAGTTAAAGCACATCTTGTTCGTTTCATTTCAAATCCATTGTGGTGGTGTATAGAGCCAAAAATGTTAGAATTGTGTCGATGTCCCAATATTTATGGACCTGACTGTATATAAAAAAGAAAACTCGTGTTTTATTACATTTTAGATTTCATATTTATCAGCCTAAAAACTGGTACGTTTTCTTAAAAAGTAACTCATTTGTTTAGAGTAAAAAAAAAAAACCCCTACACTTTCCTCTAGGTCAGTGGTCTCCAAACTGTGGCCTGGGGGCCAGATGTGGCCCTTTGCTTGCCTTAATCCGGCCCTTGGGGCACTTTTCCTCCCATTGATACAAGACAATATTCCTTTCCTCCCATCAACAATGGGGCATAATTACTGCTATGATGTGAACAATGAGGTACTATTTCTCCCATTGACACCAACGATGAGGCACTGTTTCTCCCATTGACACCAATGATGAGGGCACCATTTCTCCCATTGACACCAACGATGGGGCACTATTTCTCCCATTGACACCAACGATGGGGCACTATTTCTCCCATTGACACCAACGATGGGGCACTATTTCCCCCCCACTGACACCAATAGGACACTATTCCTCCTACGGATACCAATAATAGGGCACTATTTCTGCCACCGACACCAATGCTGGGGCACCATTTCCCCCCACTGACACCAATAGGACACTATTCCTCCCACTGACGCCAATAATAGGGCATTATTCCTGCCACCAACACCAATGATGGGGCACTATTTCCCCCCACTGACACCAACAATAGGACACTATTCCTCAAACTGCCTCCAGTGATGGAGCATTATTCTGTCCACTGACACAACTGGGAACTATTCCTCCTGCTGACACCAACAATTGGGCACTATTCCTCCCACTTACACCAATAAAGGGGCAATATTAAAACCTATATACCTGTATACTCATGTGTTGCATCCAAGGGATCAATCCATACAGTAATACTTTCTGTGGGAACTAATTTTGCAGTCTGGATTTTGTCTTTAATATCATCTGGCATTTTTCGATCCCAGATTGACTCTTTATCAGCTTCCTCAAGGTGCTCTTCAGTATTCACCTGAAACAGAACATTTGAATAGTTCTCTTCAGTTCAAATATACACACAGGCAATTGTTCTCTATTACAATGTGTCCCAGATACATCCCCTACCATACAGCTAAGCTCACTACAAGGATAGAGTGCTACTGAGCTAAAAGAAGCCCTGATCACAGACTGGAAAGGTTTAGGCGACATTCACACTAAGCTGTGCGTTTTCAGGTGTCTGGGCGGTTTTTTTTCAGCAGATGTGCAAATATTATAGGCGTTTTTCATTTAGGAGTTTTTGCTGTGGCCAATAGAAGCTGCTGTTTGAGCTGAAAACACCTGACAAAGTGCTCAGATCTGCCTGAAAAGTAGCGCAAATACTTTTTTGAGCGACAGGCATTTTGCTACAGACAACAGAACGCTCAAGTGTGAACAGGGGCCATTGGAAATAATGGGATTTTACTTGTTGAGTGTCGAGCTTTGACTTGAAAAGCACTGAAGTGTGAACGGGGTCTTAACAGAAGCTGGACGGATGTCCTCTTTTCTATCTTAAAGCCTTACTCTAGCTTTGTAATCACTTTACTAGTATGCTTAGGCCAAGCTTGGCTGGGCTGCTGTCAGTGCTGTATAAACTGTATGTGGCATTAGCCACATACAGTACAAAGTCTTGTGTTATGACAGCGGTACAGGGACTTTGGGTTTCATTTTATAGGGTCATATTCAGACGTTGGTCCCACTCGGTACAGTGATCAGGCACCAAATTTTTCAGCTACTTGTGAAGTCTAACAGGCTGCTGGTAGTGGGGCTGGATGGTGCGTCTACGCCTTCAATTCACATGAAAGTAGGGGTGCACCGACATTTCAGTGGCCAAAAACACCCCTATCGGCCAATATGAAAAAAAAAAAAAATCACAGATAGAGGTGCCGAAAAAACCCGCTGCCCAGTAGTTCCAGGTAGTTCTCTTACCTGAGAAATTAAGAAACTATCCCAGCGCTATGAAAGGTGGCCTCCACGCATCTATATGCCCTTGGAGGACCGGAGCGATGTCACTTCCGGTTCCAGCGCCTTGTAAACAAGGCCATTTTTTTTTTCTCTTAAAGCACTAGAACAATGTTTGTTTTTTTTTGATCTAATGCTTTACATTGTAGAGGAGAGATGTGGGGTCTTACTCACCATAAAGAGGACCTGTCACTAATTATTTATTTCATTCACAAGGGATGAATTTACATGTTGGGATTTATTCCAATGCAAACACACAATAAAGAACAACACTCACAACTTTATGGAGGTACTCCAGAACCAAAACCAGTTCTGCCACCACACTTCTAGCTGGCAGTAGCAAGCTTTCTTTGTACAGAGACAAACTGTAAAGCTAAAGCCATACAAACCATCAACAGAATTTGGGCCACATGGAAGAATGACAAAAGGAGGCTCAGACATTTCATCTCAGCCAGAGAAAACAAGTCCAAATAAAGCAAAATCAATAGGATACACTAAATTCACAGCTAACAGAAACATGTCACTATTTAAAGTGGCTGTAAATGCAGAAGCATTAAAAGGTAAACCAACCTGTGTTCAGCTCCCCCCAGCCTCCCCAAATACTTTCCCGAGTCCGATCTTGATCCAGCACTGTGCCTGAGGGCAGCAGCTCACTCTTGCTATTGGCTACCGCTGCTTTCAATGACAGCCGGTGATGAGAGCAGGAGGTGTGGCTGAATTGTGCTGTGTGTGACAATGGACACACAAAGCCCTGCTGAGGATAAAGCCAGCAGGTGTGTACCCATTGCAAGCTGCTTGCTATGGGAGCACTCAGAAATGAGAAGAGCCTGGAGCACTGGCAAGGGACCCCAAAACAGGATCAAGGCTGCTCTGTGCAAAACTATTGCACAAAGCAGGTAGTATGACATTAAAAAAAAAAAAAAAAGGAATCAAATGACCTTTACAATCACTTTAAAGTAGTTGAATAGGAAACAGGTTTTTCACCTTTTTACATTCTCTGCATTAAGGTAAAAAAAAAAATCTTTCAACAGTAGCTCCCCTGCAGCATCTCCCCCGCAGCCAAATACCTGAGCTTGATCTTGAAGCAGCACTATGCACGTTTGCAGCAGCTCCTCTTCCAAACAGGCTTGGCCGAGAACAATCAGAGCCATTGGCTCCTGTTATCCATCAAAACTTGTGCGCAAAGTGGGGGGGGGGGGGGGGGCAGGGTTGAGCTGGGCTGTGTGTCCGAATACACAAACAGCCTGGCTCGGAATCGAACATGCACAAGTACCCCCATACAGGAATGCCAGCAGGGGGGACCCTAGAAGAGAAGCTTCGGGGCGCTCAATGCAAAACCTTTGCACAGAGCAGGCAAGTATGACATGTTTTATTATTTTAATTAAAAAAAAAAAAAATGTAAAGCTTTACAATCACTTTAACAAAGCTACAGAATCAGCCGACTCTTCTCTCACAAGGCCCCACTATATGAAAGGTTTCAATTGCTAAATTATAGGTAGGCAAAGGAATGTGAAAGGCTAAGTACAACACGTTGAGTTCACACACAAGTGACGCATTATTACCACTCTTTACGCTCCGTGGAATAAAAGGTTTCTGCACATCAGCTCAATAGTTCATTTCAAACTTTCTTTAATAATTAAATTCAATGTAAACTAAAACTTTAACAAGATATATTTCTTAGAAAGCTATGATTAGTTCTGCTAACCTCAAACTCGGCAATGCTCTGGTCTTTGGCTGAAATAACCCATATCCTCAGATTATTTTATATATTAAAAATGTATTATATCTATGGCTGATCCCACAGTAAAATGAATTGTGGTGCAATTCATCCCAACATTTCGCATCAGAAGCTGTTCTTCAAGTAATTTGCTCATCTTCCCTTGATCCCCCTCCCAGCAGTGTATTCCAATCTCAAATATAAAATCAGAGCAGATACTCTGGGAGGAATATTAGGTTGAGTTGAGCTGCCTGAGAGAATGACCTGACCCACTTCAACACTTCTGCTGTGAATTGTGAGGATGAATGGCTCCACAGTACTTGTAGCTACAGGGGTCAGTGAGGGCTTGTAGCAAAGCTCATTTGCTGCTTCTTACAAAAATGTAAAAATCCGCTGGTTTAACCCAACTTTTTAAAAAGGCCAGGCTGAAACAAATCACCCTTACACAACCTCTCGTTGATTTCAAAGGTCTGCTCATGTCTGAAAAAACGCTAGCGGCTTGCAAGCCATGCTGCTTCAAAGGCTTTAAAACGTTGCAAGACAATGGCCCAGAAAAGTGATGCAGATCAGTTCTGATTTTACTCAGACTTTATAATCTGCTTTCTTTTCAATGTCAGCGACTCAAACTATTGAGGCCAAAGTAAGCCAGGCAACTAGAATTCTTAGAAGGAAGTCTTGAAAGGCTACCCCCTATATCTCTCACTACATGTGCTCTTTTAAAAAGGGACCCTGTCACCAGACCATTCATTTCAACCGATGTTTTCCCATAGAATTATTTGTGCCTTTAACATACATTATGCATGATATTTAGATGTAAAATCCACCCTCGTGTAGACATCCAAAAACTCTAAAAAATGTTGAGAGCTGCCATCTTGGATTTGATGTCAGCAGCCCCAGCAGACTCTGAGCTATCCCTCATGTCACACCCTATAGTATTCACCTTCACTGGTCCCCCAGCAGCTACATAAAAGGTCATGTAGGGAGGTAAATGAAGAGGCAGAGGTGCTGGGCCAGCACAGAGAATACTAAGATGCAGAACAACGCTCTGACATGCAAGGAAGAAAGGGCTGCGCTAGGAAACTTACTTTCCTGGAGTAGTCAAATTGCAACACAATAAAAAATATTTATGGAATAGGAAAATACCGCAAGTATTTAATATACTTTATTATTTGTGCTTTTATGTGCAGTTTTATATTTTTGAAAGTGGGTGACAGTCTCTTTCAGCCTGGAATTACATATATGTGGTGCGGGATGCAGAGCGATTTTAAAGGCTGGTGCAGTGCAATTTTGTTCATGCGGTGGAGGTGCAATTCCAATGCAAATTGTTAAAGTGTATCAGGTTGGAAATCATACAGGAACCTTTGTAAACATGGCACTGTGGCTGGCCCACATGTATGTGAACAGGTTCTGCTCTATTCGTACCTCTCAGAGTACAAACAAGAGGCATTCGAATTGGTCAGCACCGTCATGTGGACGGCAATGGCCAATCAAAACCTGTTATGGTCAGTGCTGGGAAGAGATGAGAGAAAGTCAAGGATATTTCAAATCCCTGGACCGGTGAAGCAGCGTCCTGGTGCCTGACAGCGGAGGATTGCAGGACACTGGTACAGCGGGACCAGGGGGTCCACCTTATACACATCTTCCTCCTCCTTGCTGGCACACAGTTCAGGGTGCCGGGCAGCCAATTTAAAAAAAAGTGTCTCCTAATTTTGTTAGCTGGCTCTAAAGGTCCAAAGCAAATTTGTCAAGCCCTGCTCCAGACTAAACGAGCAACGGAGGCTGCAAATGACAAATCCCCTAAAACAGACTGTTAATGTGAGAGAGACCCAAGTGGGCCTGTATATTTATAGAGGGGAAAAAGCCCCAATCAAGAAACTAAAGTGAAAGAAAAATGCAGAGGAGTTGTCTCCTTCATGTGCTGCACTCCACACCCATATCACACCCTATGATATGACCTGAAGGCCTCATTTATGATTGTGGGTGGAGGGAGTGTGGAGACATCACCCAACTGTTCTTTATGGCCCTCCTTTACCTGGCAGAGGTGCCTGGAGGGGTGGTACACATGCTGCAGCTCTAAATGATCACAGTTTGCATTCAGCAAACAGGACTACCGTCAAACTTGACCCATTCAAGTGAAAAAGTCTGCAATACAACCACCCTGCAACCATGTGTAATGCTTGGTGCTGCGGCCTTTCAATGGTTTAAAAAAAAAAAAAAAAAAAAGAAAAAAAAAAAAAAAAAGGGTATCCTGGAGGTGACATTATCACTTCCAAGCAGTTTGCCAAATGTGGCAATGACAGCCCCAAGTGTAATAACAGTCACCACAACAGTGCCCTGCTGATAAGCAATCAAGAAGTGCACTGTAAGCCCTGGTTCACAGTGATGCGGTGTGGAATCTGCAGCGTTTTCAGTGCGAATTCTGCATTGCATCAGAATCCCACCCCACTCATGAGAACCACTGCGGGTGTGTATGTCAAGTTAACACCCCGAAAGCGGTTCGCAAAAACGCGGTGCGATGTGTAAAATTGGATTGCATAGGTGTGAATACCCATGTGATCCGATTCTAGTGCAACCCAAAAAAAAAGGGTCCTGCGTGTTTTTGGTGCGGGTGCGGTGCGATTAGAGCCATACAAAATGTATGGGTCCAATCGCACCGCACACAAATCGCATGTGATTTACCCAGGAACGAGGTGCGGTTCCTGTGCGTATCACATGCGATATACCGATGTGATCTTGAGCTTGAAACATTTCTGGTTGAACTTGGACATGTCTTTCTTCAACCTGACTACGTAAAACTACAGCTGTTCTTTAAAGAAACGTTACAATAAAGTAAACTGCCACCCTTGATTTAGCAGCCATATATTGGACGAACTGCAAATTGACACAGAGAAAAAGTTTAGCATCACAACTTCCAGCAAACATGTCATGACAAATGGAGCAGCTGTCACTGTTGACTTCCTTGTGAAATGGTTACTGAGCTGGTTCTTATGGTCACCCACTTGCTTCAATACGTTAGCGTGCTTGACCTGCAGCAAATATGCAGATCCAAAAAGCTGGAAGTCTTTACTTGCATACTTGCCCTGGGTCTGTGATTCTTCGTATGAAAAAAGGTTAGTGTGGCAAAGGGAGGCCAGAAATGGGAGGCTTCACGGCTCTCTCATGACAGGTTTCCTAGAAGAACATGGGTCAGTTTTTCCCCATTCTAGGCTTATGTGAACCAAAGCTGAACCCCCACAACCAGTGCTACAATGGGCATAAGACCCCTTTCACATAGGTGGACCCAAAACCTGCAGACCTGATTGGACCCTCCTTTCTCCTCTATGAAACGGTAGGTGTAAACAGACACCCGCCTACATCCAATCTGATAAAAACAGAAGGATGGGGATCGGTTCTCCATTCGTCTAGCGCAGGGTTAACCAAACTATGGCCCTCCAGGTGCTGAGGAACTGCAAGTCCCATGAGGCCTTGCAAGACTGACATCCACAGGCAAGAGACGTAGAGGCACGATGGGACTTGTAGTACTTCAACAGCTGGAGGGCCATAGTTTGGACACCCCTGGTCTAGCGGATCAGATGGCAGCAAGGTGTAAATGGACAGGTGGATTCATTTACATCAGACCACCCACAGAGGAGAGTGGGCTGTGTCCATTCTGTATAAAACCAGCGGACAGATTCCCCCCTGACCAAGTGGACTCCTCAGTCTGCCCCGTGTGGAAGGGGCTTAAATATTCAGAACAGATGTCCAGCATTTTAAAACCTTTTCTATTGTTGAAAGAAGTGTTCCTTAGCTCTTGAAAACTGAACTCGAGGATAATCAAATATTGTCCAAATACAAGAGTTATGTGTATTCTTACTGGAATGTTGGTGTGCATTGTATATTTCTCTCAGATCTGTGCAGTAATCCAGTGTGAAATGTTTCCTCTGTGCAGTTGCTTTCTGTAATAAAGACCAGTCACTGCTGCCCTCTCTGCATGTGTAGGGTGGCTGGTCTTGTCTCCACCCCCCCTGAAGTGGGTGGGGCTTGTTGGGTCCCTCACACAGGTCCTCTCTGAACAGGCCATGTACAGCACAGTGATGATGTCACGGCTACTTTTACAGGGCAATATCTGGGTTTGTAAAAGGCACTTGGTGCACACACAGGATTTCTATCCTCGATGACTAAGGAATATATTTAAAATGAAATAGTGAGGCTGACATTGCAGACTTCTGCTTTTGAAAATGCATGATGGTGACCCTTTTGCTTCAAAAATTTGAGCTGCTGGCCCCAAACAATTATGTAGATAAGAACTTGTGCCTTGCCTATGTTCTCCAGGTATATCAATCATGACTGCATGTAAAAACAAAAGGGCCAAAATCGCAAACTTGGTGTTGAGTTATTTGCACTTGCAGGTCATTACAGAGGACCACTCTATGTCTGAAGGAAAAGAGATTAAGCCTGGGTTCACATATATGTGGTGCGATACATCGCATGTGATTCGCACAGGAACCACCCACATTCCTGTGCAAATCACATGTGATTTGTGTGCGGTGCAACTGGAGCCATACATTTTGTATGGCTCTAATCGCACCGCACCCAGAAGGTGCAGGACCCTTTTTTTGGTCCACACTAGAATTAGATCGCCTGGGTATTCACACCTATGCACATCGCACCGTGTTTTGAGGACCGCTTTCAGGGTGTTGTTAACATACACACCTGCAGTGGTTCGCATGAATGGGGTGCGATTCTGATGTGGTGCGGAATTCGCACAGTAAACGCTGATTCTTGGTTTTCTCAGAGCGGACAGCAGTGACTAAGTAACCGCTCACTGGAGTGCTGGTCTGTGGAGGGGGCAGAAGCGGCTGGCTCAAGCTCTGGCCAGCTGCCAATCAGTCATTTGCATCCTGACAATATGGACAGGATCCTTCCAGAACCTGCAGTGGCTCAGCGACGTCAGCTTTAGCTCCTGTTGGCTGATTTTGGGTAATAGGAGTGCAAAAGTTAGTGCGCTCCTGTGACCTACATAAGAGGTATAATCAAAAAAGCATTGGCCATACTTCTTTAACCTCCACATATGGAAAGGCTTCTTCACAGTAAGAGCTGTAAAAATGTGGAATAGACTCCAAGAACTGGTTCTGGTCAGCACAGATTTTTTTTTTTTTAACAAAACACAGATCAGAGAATTCCCAATAACACCAGGGGTAGTTGATCTCAGGAATATCTAATTACCTCCTGGGGATCAGGAAGGATTTTTTTCCCCTTTGGAACCAAATTGGATCATGCTTTATTGGGGTTTATTTTACCTTCCTCTGATTAGTTTTCTATTTGTTGGGGTTTTTTTGTCTTTTTTTCAACCTATGTAACTATGATTAAACTTTCCACTTTAAAAGTGCCATAAAGATCTGACTTATCTCCATTATAAAAGGTTTGTACTGCATTTATCTATTGTAGAGTTTACTGTACAAATGTTTGCAAGGTTCAGTAAAGGATATGGTGTCACACCTATTGTGTCCACAGCACAATCTGATCCACACAGGACTGTGTCCCATTTACAAGGCTTAGCACCTCTGTGCCCAACTACAGAACAGGTAAAGTCAGTGCTGACCACCTGAGACTGACAGAGGTGACAGGACTACTGCACCACCTTATGCCCCATACACGATGAGAATATTGGACGAAATGATAGTCCGCTTCTTTTTTTTGCCTGCTAGTCTCATATCGAAAGTGAGGAGGTTACTAAAGATGTGAAAATTCTCGTATGACAGAAAGAAGATTCGGAAGGGATGTAATGTATTTGTATTCTATTTTCAAACGAAAACTGTGCTGATTAAAACGAAAATCGTATGACCTGGTATCGTACAAGAACATTTTTTGTGTTTGTCCCTTCAAATAATTTAGGACGAAAGTTGCGTACTAACAATCAGATTATCGTACGATCGCTTCAAAAGACGTATTTTTCCTATGATTTTCTAATCGGGTCTACTAAGTATAAATGGCACTTTCCTGGCAATCTCAAATGTCAGATCAGCGACACAAATCTGTGCTATTTTTACCTTGCTCTTTTGTGATCAAAGACAGGTTGAACCTGCACCTATGTGTATGATCAGCACTGGGGCCTGCATTCACAGCCTCTGGGCATATCTGATGGCATTAGATTGACATCTGTGCAGAGATCCTTCAGAATTCACACAACGAGCAGCCAGCAGTGATCACTACAGACAATTGCTGGCCCAGCAGATTGCCACAGATAGCAGAGGTCGCCACCAACCTGTCATTGAAGTGTATAGGGCTCAGTGGCCTCAGCTAGCTGCTCACAGGTGGCAGAAGAAACAGCAGGGATGAGCAGATTCCCACTGCTGGTCATTCACACGGACTTCAGTCACCTGTATGAATGGAGCCTTACTGCTTCACCTGGGTTTAGTGCTTGTAGGTGAAGGATATACATGACAGCCGATATGGTCCTAGTGCCCCATAGACCAGATCAAAAATTGTACAGGATCAGACACTGTGCCCCCCCATATACAGGATCAGACAGAAATCCCCCCCCACCTGCATAGAGGACCACACTTTGAGGGGCCCCCCCATTGGCAAAATCAGCCATGGGCGCCGCCCCCCCCCCCCACCCACACACACACACACACACAGGGTCACACGTGGGGCCCCCCCACACACAGGGTCACACGGGGGCCCACCCCACACACAGGGTCACACATGGGGCCCCCCCCACACACACACAGGGTAACACGTGGGGCCCCCCCCCACACACACAGGGTCACACGTGGGGCCCCCTACACACAGGTGATGAAGTGTCGGCGGTGGACTGACCTGCACCCCGGGGAAGGAGTTCTTGATGAGGCTTGCCATCCTCAGGTTGGAGAGGAGGTCCCCCCGGGTCATCTTGTCTTCCACCCCCTCTCGGTCTTCCCCTTGGAGTTCTCGTTCAGCTTGTTGCTCTCCCGCACCGTCCTCACCTCCACCCCGCCCAGCTCCGCCGCCTGCACCGCCGCCGCCAGCAGCTCCCGCAGATCCACCACGCTGCCCCCCTCCGCTCGTGCCAGCCCGATCTCCAACATGAAGGCCGACAGGCGCCATGTCAGGAGCCCCGAGTAGACGTGATAGAGGACACCAAGCCCCAGCAGGCAGAACACCCCGATCCCCAGAGGGGACAGGCGGATGCCCATAGGCGCCATGTGTAAGCGGAGGACAGGACAGATCAGCGGCTCATCCTACTCCCCGGCCGACGATCCGCCGAGACCCGGCCACTGCCACTCACACAGACCGCACTACATCCGGGTCATGGGAAGGGGAGGAGCCTGAAAGGAGTGCCAGCTTGGAGCAAACAGGGCGCCTCCATAGACACACGTCCTAACCTGTCCACACCCCCTCCTGTCATTGGTCAGAGCTCTGTGGGTGTGTCTGCTCTGGGGCTGAGGGCTTGGTTGGGCTGAGTAGTATACCATGGAAGCTAGAAAATGCCAAGAGCAGGATGGGACATTTTATGTAAAAAGAAGACTTTTCTCTCAGTGTATGTGGGTTTCCTTCAGTAAAGTCCATTCCACAACTGACTGTTAACCTCCTCAGTACCAGACACACCCTTCTGCCCAACCCCTCTGTAAGTTATCAACTCTGTCAGGATCTGACGTTTACTCAGGCATGCAACACTGAACTCTAATGAAATGATCATTTTGTTCACACAAATAGAGCTTTGTTTTGGTGGTATTTATTTTTTGAAGTTGTAATTTTGTGTCGCAATTTTTCGTAAAATTAAATTAATTTTTTTTTTTCACCAGGTTGTCATTTTAGCAAGTTGTTTCTCACACACAGCACAGGCATACTTACAATTACATTTCAAAACACATTCTGCTATGCCTCCTGAGTATGGGGATACCACATGTGTGAGACTTTTTCACAGCCTAGATCCATAGATGGGCCAAAATCCAAGGAGCACCTTTGGGATTTCAAGGAGCATAAATTACACATCTAATTTCCTGACTACCTATCACATTTTTGGAGGCCCTGGAGCACCAGGCAGTGAAACACCCACAAAATGACACCATTTTGGAAACACAAACACTCTAAGTATTTTTTAAGAGACGTGAGTTTTTTTTGAAAATGTTATTTTTTGTCACGTTTTTGGAAAATGCAGGAAATAAAATTAAATTTATTACACAAAGTTGTCAGTTTAGAAGATATTTCTAACACGCATCATAGGCATACTTAAAAGTACACTGCAAAACACATTCTGCTAGTTCTTCCAATTATAGGGATACCACATTTGTGAGACTTTTTTGACAGCCTAGCCACACAAAGAGGTTCAAAATCCAAAGAGCACCTTCAGGCTTCCTAGGTGCATAATTTACACATCTAAGTTCATGAATACCTATCACATTTTTGGAGGCCCTGGAGCTCCAGGACAATGGAAACAGCCACAAAATCACCACATTTTGGAAAGCAAATGTCACATGGGATTTTTTGAAGAGGCATAGTGAGAATGAAAATTATTACAATTATTTTTTTTTTTACACAAAGTTGTCAATAAGATATTTCTCACATGCAGCATGGACATAATTAGATCTACAACACAAAACATATTCCACCACTCCTCCCGAGTATAGCGATACCACATGTGCATGTTCATATTTCTTTATTATGGCTCACTAATACATAAGAATGCATCCCAAGCCTGGTATAGGGATGGTTTTACCTTAAATGACCCAATACTACAGGAATGTCATCACTATCAACTGACCAACTGAAGGAATGTGTGCTATCTTCCTTAAAAAGTAATATTGATTTCCAAATCAGTCTTGAATATACCACAGTCAAACCATGGAATAAGTTAGTCTCTTACCAGGGCTGTGACACACACATCTGGTTTAATCATCTGCCAAGCTGTAAAAAAGCATGCGGGGCTCCTTGATGGAAGGCGTCTATAGCTAAGTATCTTGTTACATTTTTCCAATATTATTACCTTTTTTCTCTCTATCGGTCATTACTTAATTAAATGTTATATACAGTTTGATTTTACCTGCAAGTGTTGTGTGATCTCTCTTTGCACAAAAAAAAACATAGAACATAATCTATCAAGTAACCTTATGCCTCTAGATGGACCTCTAGATGATGCTGGCCCTGGTTTTTGTCCAGACCTTGCAAGCTTCTCAACCCTTCTGACACTCTAGGCCAGCAATGGGCAAACTACGGCCCGCGGGCCGTATACGGCCCGCGGACCTTTTAATCCGGCCCACAGAGCGTGATACTGTCAGGATGGCTGTCAGGATGTGTGTAGGCGGGGCAGCGTGACAAACGTGAGGGGAGCTAGGCTCCTCTCACAGTCCGCCCTGAAGACCGGAACGGCGCGGGAACACGGCGAGAGGAACGCGCGGAGCAAAGGTAAGTAAATTGAATTACTATAGGGGGGGGTGAATTACTATAGGGGGGATGAATTACTATATGGGGGATGAATTACTATGGGGGATGAATTATTATGGGGGATGAATTACTATATGGGGGATGAATTACTATATGGGGGATGAATTACTATATGGGGGATGAATTACTATATGGGGGATTAATTACTATATGGGGGATTAATTACTATGGGGGATGAATTACTATGGGGGATGAATTACTATATGGGGGATGAATTACTATGGGGGATGAATTACTATGGGGGATGAATTACTATATGGGGGGGGATGAATTACTATGGGGGGATGAATTACTATATGGGGGATGAATTACTATATGGGGGATGAATTACTACATGGGGGATGAATTACTATATGGGGGATTAATTACTATGCTTACTATGGGGGAATATTACTATACTTACTATGGATGACACATTCACATCATTCATCTACTCTTGGTCCGGCCCCCGGGTCCAATATATGAACCCATTGCGGCCCTCAAGTCAAAATGTTTGCCCACCCCTGCTCTAGGCTCAGGCATGCTTAATCACAGAATTAATGCTCCCCAAATCGGTGATAAAGAATTTTAGCACAGAGTACAATAAAAGCAAGATACACCATTATTTGGAAGCACTGGTATATTGTACGCTGATAAGCACAGGCTCCTATTAACAGTTGAATAGCCAGCATAATTTCAAAAGGGAAACATAAAATTAGTGAACTTTAAGTACAATACCAAGTGGTTAAGTAATAATAGATTAGCAATGTACAGTTTATCCATCTAAACATGTTAGGTGCAATTAAAGGCAACCAAAGTGCAACACTGGTTGAAGGGGGAGAGACTTAGAAACTCATCAGACCCCTCTGGACCACTGACACACTAAATAGATATCACTGAAATATCCTTTTGATTTAGTAATGACACACATGGTTAGAGTGCTTCCTTAACTGGATGAACTATATTTCTTGACCTGTATGGGAAACAGTTCCAGTTGATGGTAAACGTTGTCTTCTGCTAGCAATGTTGGGGCCCTTAGACAATGCTGGATGTTTATAAGCCAGTAATGTTAAGCAGGTGAAAAACAGCAGCCGAAATGGGGAGATGAACTGTGAGGATAAGCGGTTGCTGCACCCAGTATAGTGATCTGCGACACAGCCAGGCAGATCTGCTGTCTGGAATGTCATGGTAAGTGGCTAAGCCAAAAAAAGTCCACTGAGACTGTATGTAGGATGATGGCCTTCAACCGTAATGCTATGACTACGTGCATAGCATGAAACGCGTCGGAGGGCTACAGCAGCTGGACATCTAGCCACCGCTGGTGGCCATCCTGAACTTATGATCAGTAATTTTATTTTATTGTACTACACATTCATTATCCAGAATAAAGGCGACCCTGTGCAGTATTACGCTATGTGGTGTCCCTTATTGGGCTGTTCGTGTGAGTGCCATCATTCGCAGTGTCTGCTTTAAAGGTAACCCCAAATCGTGATACATACCGATAGATTCCGAAACCTTAAGGCAGATGAGACCAGATGGTGATATGGAGTGTGACCTGACCTGGGAACAGATGACCCACTAATTACCTGATGACACAGGATTTTCATATTGCATGTTAAAAACGCACTTCTGGTGAGTGCGCATTTTTTATTCACTTGGAACACATCATCTGTCACTCCCGGATCAGATATCCATACACCAATATTTGCGATCCTTTCGGGATTCACACGTTTACATCCTTTATTGGACTAATATTTCACTAGAATCACCACATGGTGATATCATTTAATGCACCTGATGTAATATTAAGGATATGAATATACAGTGATTTATATATTTATTAAGTTGCATAATATGATTCAGCGCTGCACCTATTTGTCTTGACTTAGAACTTATACCAATGTTGGGGCATTATTCCTCCCACTGATACCAATGATGGGGCTCTATTCTTCCCACTAATACTAATGATGGGGCTCTATTCTTCCCACTGATACCAATGATGGGGCACTATTCCTCCCACTGACACCAATGGTGGGACACTATTCCTCCCACTGACACCAATGATGGGACACTATTCCTTCCATTGACACCAATGATGGGGCACTATTCCACTGACACCAATGATGGGGCACTAGTCCCCCCACTGACACCAAAGATGGGGCACTAGTCCCCCCACTGACACCAAAGATGGGACACTAGTCCCCCCACTGACACCAAAGATGGGGCACTATTTTTTCTCCTACTGACCACCAAATCTGAGACATTTTCTACTTCCACTGAGCTGGGGCATTTTCTACTCTCACTGGGCACAGTCCGGCCCTCTGATAGTCTGAAGGACAGTAATCTGGCCCTTTGTTTATAAAGTTTGGAGACCTCTGGCTTAGTGTGTCATCACCTATAACAGGCCCAGTTCTTATCAGCTAAGCAAACCTTGCCCACTGGCAGATGGTTGCCCCCAGGAATGCCGTGTTCATTGGCCAGGAAGACAGTTTTGAAATGACACTGGGAGAAATTCAAGGACTTTACACATATTCTTCAGTGGATACAATTTAAAATGGCAATTGACTGATTTGGTTACATTTCTTTTTTTATGTGTGAAGATCACTGCGTTGGACACAGTTCATGTACTGTGTGTTTTGAATGTACTTTTTTTTTTTACTGATGGCATTCACCATTTGGGTGTTGATAATTTTTCTGTTAATTTATGTGGAGATTTAAATAGGGTATACTTGTTGTAAGATAAGAGCGCTACATTGTTCACAATTTTTGTTTGCTACCAA